GTGGTATCAAATCTGACACAGTGATGTCAGGACTTCAAAGCATCACACGCAGCTTGCAAGAGCCCCTTGTGGTACTTTTAAGTGCCACTTGTTGTCAAACCCTGGCTCCTGGCTTGTCTTCCTTCAGACAAACTGCAAGCTCTAGCCAAGCTTTGTTCTATAACTTAGCAAAAAGTAGTAGGCAAACCATGAGCCCATTTATTATGGCATAGGCTTTTGCGAATGGGACAGTCCACTTCATCAGTTGCTTCTTGTTGTTGTTGGCATCTGTTTGTCTTGATAGACAATACAGTGTGCCTCTGAGGATGAAGTCAAATTGCTGCATTAGCAGCACCAAAGTGACCTCCCTGGGTACAAGCCCGGTGTATCCTGAGTTGCCCAGATGCCCTTGGCCTCGCTGATGTGGTCCAAAGGAAAGCAGAGCAAAACAGCTTGGCTGCAGGAGTTGCTGGAAGGAGACGTACAAGGCGCCATTCAACCATCTTAGGGACTCCACTCTGGATTTGTGTAGGGTTTACTCCTTAGTCTTTTCTTTTCCCAAAAATACTCTGCAAGGTAGTGGAGGTTTCAGATCAGAGTTTTTCTTCTCCTAGATGGGCTGCCTTCCCAGCTTGATGAACCCCATCTGCTCCTCATCATTAAATGCATACATTAAATATTCTCATGTACAAGTGTATATTTTAGGGAAGAGGGAGTCTTTTCCTGAAAAATTCTAACATGGTTACCCCTTTAGGAATCTATATAATTCCTATTAAAAAAAACCAAACCAAACAAACACTGAAACCATCGTGACTATTCTATAAATTAGGGGGGAAATGGTTTTTCTTTCTTCTGTTTCAGCATAGCAATACAGACAGATGCCAGACCATAGGCAGAGAGACTACTTTCTCCCTGCTCAGCTTGCTCACTTTCCTCCTGTGCTGGGCAGGGGAAAAAGAGGTTTATGCCAGGTGTTATATGGGTCCTCTTCCCACCTGTCAATCTGACGAGCATTTTGCATATAAAAATCAGCAGCTCTGAATACAAATTTAACTTTAACAAGCTTATTTGTAATAGTTGCCACATAACTACACAATCTTGGATGTCTCCCGCCCATGGCAGCAGTCCATTTATTCAAAGCAGCTGTGGGATATTGGGTGGGTGGAGCGGAATTCTAAATACTATTTTCAAGTGCATAAAATTAGTAATGGAAAAATGCTACTTAAAATATTCCTTATCTTCAAAAAAGCTTATTTGAAACTGGCACCACTACAAACATGAAGCACACTCTCCCACACTTACTGATTAGCTGCATATGTTGATTAGCTGCATTTTCATTTTAACCTTTTTTTTTTTACTTTGGAAAAAATGATGCATAAAACACTGTCTTCTTGATATAGCAAGAAAATTTATTTTAGAAAATAATTGAACTGGAAAGTTGAAATGGTAGTAGACACTGGCCATGTTCACACATCACTTAATGTGCATAAGAGTATCATGGGGGACTTTGTCAAAAGCTTTACTGAAATCAGGATACACTATGTCCACATCATTTCCCTGATCCACCAAGTTTGTCATTCCATCAAAAAAAGAAATCAGATTATTCTGACATGACTTATTTTTGAGAAACCCATGCTGGGACTTAGTAATTATAGCATCCTTTCTTAAATGCTCACAGACCAACTGTTGAATTATCTGTTCTAGGACCTTCCCTGATAACGATATTAAGTTCATCGGTCAGTAGTTACCTGGGTCTTCCTTTTCCCCACTTTTGGGACAACATTTGCCCAATGTTAGCTGTATACCACTGATATGTATACATGCAGCACTTATTGGGCTTTACTCTCCTGGTAAAAGTATTCAAGCTTTCAAATTATTTTTGAAATATTTTTGATTCGCCCCAATCCCCCCAAAAAATTCTGGGAGTGAATCCCTGCCCATTATCCCTCAGATGACCAGCAAGTAAAATGGAAGAGATGGTACATGCAAAATCCAGTCCATGTACATTTTGGAATCCATCTGAAGCTCGTGCAAATTTGCTACATAGGCTTTATTTTGAAAACAGCCCACCAAGCAATGCTCTTTTATTAAAAACTAAAATGCTAACATAGCAACATATGCTGAGCACCTAGAAAACATGTTTTTCTGCTTACCATTGGTTTTCTGCTTCTGTAAGAACTGTGCAATTAATTTAGAATCTCCACTACTAAATTGTCTATGTTCCAGACAATTTTAGAAATGGAAGTACTAATTTTGTGCTTCTTGCTCTGTGCATGCGTTTCTATCATCAGTATGTATCAAAACCATTTTTATTACTTATTTTTCCTAATGCAATACTCATTCCTGATTGATAAATAAAATCAAGCTAAATGGTATCAAGCTAAGGCACATGCTATTTAAAGAATAGTGATGTGGCAATTAGAAGAAAGACAAAAAACAGATCTTCTTCCTTCCTCACTTTCCTTGTCATAACACATCCTACCTTCATGTTTCGTTTTTTATTTATTACTGTATGTAACAAGCTTTGTGTTTAATTATTTATAAAATTTAATAGTCTCATATGTCATATCTAGCATTACATATGCCAGCAGTCTTTCATTACCAGTTTCTGGAAACCTGGCCAGAAGGTTATTTGTGAGTTCCTTAATCCTGGGGTCTTTTAATAAGAGCATGCATTATAGAAAACAAAAGGAGAAAAGAAAAACAAATCCAAGCTACTGTGGGCTTTTAAAATCAATATTAGGTTTCTTGAAGACTTGCCAGAAAACTACAGATAGCCAATGCAATTAGTTTATCCAATTCCTGCAAGGCAGCAAAGGCTTTCCTTCTCCTAGATCGGCTACCTTCCCAGGTTGACAAGTCCCATCTGTCCCACATGTCCCTCTACAGCACATGCCAAAACTGCCTACTTGACCACTGGATCCACTATTGGTCTCATCTGCTCAATCTGCCAGAGCCTGTCTTCGCATGCAGGGAAAGTTCCTAACTCACCAACGGTTTGATACCCATCAGCTGTAAACTAGACCTGTAAACAACAGTTATTTAATGTGACTAAATCTGCTATAAAACAACAGGCTCTTCACACATTATATGCTTTACACATGAACTCAAATACCTGTTTATTGTCTGCATTACAAATGTTCACTGCTGGCCCTATATATCACCAGATGCATCTACAAAGGATCTGTATTGGGTCATACCTCCCTACTGGCCACATGATCCAGAAAGCTGTCTGTGGAGAAATGCCAGCTACCTTGACCTGAAGCGAGATGAACACCGCACCCCAGTCGCCTTTGACTGGACTCAACTGTCCAGGGATCAGATACCTTTATTTTATCTTACTCAAGGCAGCCAGTGCACATTTACTGACACCTCTGTGAAACTTTTTTATAATCTTGATTGTTCTACTTTTGCAGTCACTACTAGAAATAAAAAGCTGATACAAAGGCTTAGTATTTCAATTATCTTCGGGTGAGAATTAAAGCACCTAACTAGTAGCCTCAATCTTAAGTGCTTCCTCTGCTAAATTGCTTAATGAGCTGGAGTCTTTGCAGATTCTTCGGTACCTGTCCACAGTCAAACATGGCAGAGATCAGCATTCACTACATGCCCTTACAGCCTATACAGATCACATTCTTTATAAGTGACACTTTAATGTATGATAAAATCAGTATTAACCTATCATTTATGAACAGCTAGAGTTGACAGGATGATGGACAAGGCCAAACAGCTGACAAGAGAAGCACAATTTCACCACTTTCTCTACCTCTGAGGCAGATAATTCTACTGCAAATTCATATCAGAAGTGAATGAATGATCCAGTCACAGCTGATACAGAGATGTGGCAGGACAATTTGCTGATAGAATTAATATATACCGTATTTTTCACCCTATAGGAGGCACCGGCCCATAGGACGCATGATGGGTAGTTATCTTTACATTCATTTCGTACCACCCTGGTACGTTCTGTTCACCTTGAGTTCACACCATATCAATCTGTACTTATCCTTCTGTGTACATTCCTTTCTTACCTGGAATGTTCAGTCCATTAGTAGCACCATATCAATCATGATAAGAAGGAGATCATGCCTGTCTAAACTCTGCGTTCCTTTTTCCAACCTTTAATGTATCGATGATTAATGTCTTATATGCAACCCTTGCTTTGTACTTATGTTAACCAATCAGCAACAAGCACATATGTGGCAATGCTGTAATATTCAATAAAAGGGACTCCCCGACACATGTTCGAGAGATGCCTCCCGTATGACACCCTACCACTCGTCTGTCGTTTATTTCAACCCAACAGACGCACCTAGTTTTTTGGGGGGGAAATCAAGGGGGGGGGAAATCCCCCCCCCCCGGTTTGCGCAGCCATCCTGAAGCTAGAAGAGGGAGACGGAGCGCTCCATCTCCCTCTTCTACCTTCAGGGACAGCCTCTCTAGCCTCTGTGGGGCAGCGCACTCCGCTGCCCTGCAGAGGCTTTGCGCAGCCATCCCCAAGCTAGAAGAGGGAGACGGAGCGCTCCATCTCCCTCTTCTGCCTTCAAGGACAGCCTCTCTAGCCTCCGTGGGGCAGCGGCTTGCCCCGCTGTCCCCCGAGTTTGTGGGGCTGGTGGGGGGAGAAGCAAGCTTGCTTCTCCCCCCCGCCAGCCTCCAGACCCGGTCCGGGAATAGCGGGGTGGCAGCGCTCCGCCTCCCCGCTATCCCCCGAGCTTGTGGGACTGGTGGGGGGCAGAAGCAAGCTTGCTTCTCCCCCCCCCGTCAGCCTCCAGACCAGGTCGAGGAATAGCGGGGTGACGGCGCTACGCCTCCCCGCTGTCCCCCGAGCTTTTGGGCTGCTGCCCGCAAGCCTTGCGAGCCCGCGGGACCTCCCGCCAGGCTTGCAAGACTTGCAGATAGCTTCCTGAAGTCTGGAGAGCGAGAGGGGTTGGTGCGCAAAAGCCTGCATTCGCCCCATAGAACGCACACACATTTCCCCTTCATTTTTAGAGGGGGAAAAGTGTGTCCTAAAGGGCGAAAAATATGGTGTGTGTGTGTGTATATATATATATATATATATACACACACACACACACATATATATATATATACACACACACACACACACACACATATATATATATATTTAGAAAGAGCCAACAGGAACATCTTTGATGAATGTTGACTATCAATAATTAAACTTATTTCTTCTTGTACAGTATCAGTCTTTCCATAGCGCACTAGTGTGCCCCGCATACAGTTTGGAAATTCCTGCTCTAGGCTAACCATGTCCATTATCTGGGGCCCCATCACTCACTCTGAACTGCACAATAACTAGAATAAACAACTTGCACAAAGCTGCCCCAGTGTACATAAAAAGCAGTCTTATATCAAGCCAGACTACTGGATTGTGTAGCTCAGTATTGCCTACACTGACTGCCACCATCTTCCCAGGATTTCATATAGGAGTCTTTACCAGCCTTACCTGAAGATGGCAAGGAATGAATCCGAGACCTTCTGTATGCAAAGCAGATGCTCTACCACTCACTGAGCTACAGCCCTTCCTTGATATTTGTATGACAGCATATACTGAACCCTGCCTGCCACCTACTAATGCCAGTGCAACTCTGACTTACCAGAAACACAAGATACCAGAATGAAAGCTTCCGATTATTTTACTCAAAGAAGCAAGAGACACCTTCCCACTTTCAACAGAGCTTTCAACAGCCATTCTGTGGCATCAGATGTGCCAGACAGGGATGAGGGGAGAGGAAGTACCAGCAGCAAAGCATTAAAAGAATGTGGACTTGTCCCAGCTCAAGGGAACACTTGAAGACGCATCAGCTCCCCCAGTTCAGGGGGAGGCATTTGTTGTATTTCAAGACACTGCGAACAATTTGGTTCTTGACAAAGGGGCTTCTGTTTTAATCTACTGCGCAAATAAAAAGCTTTCCCTCACTACTTCAGCCAACAGACATTTGTCAGGATTAGTCTAAGAACAGACAACCAGCATCCTTTATGTAGTGGTGCTTAGGATTTATCTATCTCAGCTTCTTGGGGCATAGAAATGCATTATTATGTTTTAATTCCATGGGCAAAGATAATCTTCATTGCTTTACAATGCCTTTTACCACTTCCCAAAGCCTTGTAAACAGGTCAGATGTGATCCTCTAATATTCCTGAACAAATTAATTTTCAGTCTCATTTTAGCCTTAATCATAGAACCAAGAATATACTGTAGACCAGGGATAGTCAACCTTTTTATACCTACCGCCCACTAATGCATCTTTCTTGATGGTAAAATTTCCTTACGGCCCACCAGTGTTCGATGGAAGGAGGATTCAGCTTGTGCCGTAGAACCCCCTACCTCCCACCTAGAATCCTGAAACGTCCACTAGTGGGCGGTAGGGACCAGGTTGACAACCCCCCACTGTAGACACTTGGGCAGTCACTCCATTGACAGAATAGTTCAGACATTGGTTTATATAGTTTACTTTTGCTAAAACTACAACTTATCCATACTTTCTCTTGCCCACTGCTTTACCCCAGGAAAAACTGCTCTTCAGCACTCAATCAGAGCAAACAGAAATTCTGGTTTTCTGTGGACTGTGATTTGTTCCAATTTAGAGCTAAAGAGCAGGTTTTCCCTGAGAAAGGAGCAGAGCAAGGGCAAAACCACATGGATCAAGCCTAGAAAGTGCAGGTCAAGGGGAAAACTGCTCAGACCCATGCTTTCTAGGCATGGGACTGTAATCAGCAGAACTACCTGCCACTGTACACTGACTAACAAAGCACATCACACCAAAGCAGCTTTTTGTTTGTCAATGAAAAACTGAGGGCAGTATTTAATTATTTTTTGTGGTAGCACAAGGGGATTCATCCCCACCTCCTCCCCCAAAGTGAGCCTTGCATACTTCTGGGGAAAGCCCCAGAACAGACCAGGAAGGCGCAGAGGGAGATGAGGAGAATGTTCTGCTGTGAGAAATCCATGTTCTGATGGAATGCTCAACGTAGTGCTATGCTGAAAACAACTCTGACTTTTTAGGAGCTGGATTTTCTTGTAAATGATTTACACTATAACTTCTTTAACAAGTATCTTGGGAGAAAATGCTATCATGACTACAAGTTTTAATCAGTAAGTAAGTGTGATCAATTTTAAGTTAAAACTAGCTAACAGGGAAACTCAACAGCCTCCTGCAACAGATACTGTTGGGCTCCTAAAAGTAACGGTACTCAAGTAAGGGAGTTTGGACCTCAAAGGAAATTCTCCCCCTGCCGCCATCTCATCAGTACCTGATGAAAGAGTGCTAGCAGTGAACGAGCTATTCAACTTATGAATATTATATCTTATTTATTAATAGTAGTTAATTATTTTTTTTCACATATTATTCTCTAAAAGTTACCTAGCTACATGCTGAAATGGTACAGCTTGTGTCTCATGGTGTCACCTGGTAGAGGATATCTGGATAGTTTTAGAAGTTATCTGTGTTGGCCACTTGCCATATATAAAGCAATCCTTCACGCTTGCAAGAATGTTTGAACTTGGTATGTCAGGGTCACTGAAGTATAATCCATATAGCAGGTGTGATCAATGTGGACATAATAGTATATAAGACAGAACCTTATCACAGTCCAAAGGTGTTGCGTATCAGTGAGCTCCATCTTTAAGGGTCTGTCTGTTGTCATTCTCTGAGGGGTTCTCAAAAAAACAGAAGGGACATAAGCATAATTAATCTTGCTCTATAGTTTCTCTTAGCTGTTGCATAAAATCTTTATCCTTCACCGCATCAGTGTTAATTGTGTACGAATCTGGAAAAGAATCCCTACTTTTGGCAGAACACTTCTACTGTGCGTTCAAAAGATTTCTGATCTGAAGAGCTTCCTCGCAGAAATAAGGGATGGGTTCCAACCGCATATACTTAAAAATAGAATCTACTCCAAATATAGCGAGAGATGACGTAAAAAAGCAGAACATTTAAATAAAGATGCTGTCTCTCTAGCTCTCTTGTTCTTGATCTTTCTCTCTATAGATATGCACAAAAATAATTTGTAAATGTATGAATAAATAAAAAATGTATCCCTGCATCACTTGGTGTGAAGGCAAAAAAGAAGGCAGGCTTGTGGTGCCGACAGCCATAGCAAAGGCAGGAGCCCCTTCTTAGGCCAACTCGGGAGACAGACAGCCACTGCAGCATTGGGGAAGGGGACAGCCATAGCAAAGGCAGGAGCCCCTTCTTAGGCCAACTCGGGAGACAGACAGCCACTGCAGCATTGGGGAAGGGGAGTGAGGGGGGAAGCTTGGAGAGGATGTATTTTAGAAAATTAGGGTAAACTGATTTCTTGATGCCTTAGATTGTGATTATAAAAGATGTATTACATGAATTTAGGATATTATTTTCCCTTTACTTCCCTTCCCTCTTATCCATTCTATCCCCCCCTCCCTTGTAACAGCATTTTTCATGTTGTTCATATTTTGTCCTTATTTCAAAAATTAATGAAGTTTCTTCTTTTAAGAAAATGGCAAAACAGGATGCACTGCCCCTGGCCCTGCACAACAGATTATTATTCTTGTTTTTATTCTTAAAGAAATTAATATACCACTTTCACTTCAAGGAGAAATGCCAAGATGTTTCTTCTATGTAACTTCTAAAATATACAGGAGACATGGGCTTAACCAGGACTTTTGTTAGCGGGACAGAACCAACATGATTGGTCAGTTAGTTAAGTATTTCTATTGTTTTACTTGTTCTGGGGAGTCAGCTGCCCCCCTCTGCTCCACCCATGACAGGAGTCCTTTTCGTCTCTAGGCTCTAATATATACATGTAAGTTTAAAACAGTAAAAGTAGTCCCATGTTACATGCTGTAATTGGAAGTGCATCCTGCTTCTACAAAGGTTGAATATTACTGGATAGATTGTTCATATAGCTGAATTATTGCTGTATGTCCTGTATTTGAAAGACAGAGAAATATCAAGACTGATGTGGGAAATTGCTCCACATGAATCATAACATGTGTATTGCCACATAGCAATGACCATTTTTAAAGGTCATATTGAGGCATCTGATCAAGGCCTGTATTTTAAAATGAGCTTAAAGATATATTTGCAAATGTTTGTAGGTTTCATGTCAGGCAGAAACCAGCTGGCTAAGTACTCTGGCAGGCAGTTGTTTATCTTCCTGCTCTCCTGAACAAGGGCCCCCCTGATTTATAGCAGTAGCAGAAGACAAGTTTCTCAAAGTTGTAAAAGAGAATTACAGGCTGGGAGCAAATGTTACACTGACCCTACATATTACAGAATACAATCAAGCTGCAAAAACACTAATTAAGAGTTGGTAAATAGTAAGATTTATTGTTTAACAGAAAATAATACCATGTGCCTCCCATCAGACTCTAGCCATATTTTCCTAAGGTTTAAGGTATACTGAGAAAGTTAAAGGGCAATGGGAAAAGCAGCTGGCTGGGAAAGGGGGGTGTAAACTGAAGAGGCTTCTTTTGAAGCTGTTTTTACTGAGTTCCTTTTTTCTTTGCAAAGGCCTTTTCTTCTAAAAAGCTATCTATATTATGTATGAGATTTATTGGCTTAATGTAATTATGCAAAGGATTTAGAAAGTAAGAAATGTTAGATTCTTATGTTAGATTCTTATTTCATTGATGGTGTGTGAGAATGTGAACCCAAGATCTCTGTTTAGACAAAATTTAATACCATGAGCCATCTGTTTTAGTCATTTGTTTTGGAATGCAGGGGCAACAGGGGCAAAAGCTGATCTGGTAATTAAGGTGCCTGGTCGAGGCAAATGTAAGAGGCTACTTGTCTGCCATTTATGGATAGAAGGAAATATAGCTCTTTGTCTCCCATAAAAGGTAATAGGAAGTGGGTGTATCTTTTATGATTGGTTCTAGCAAACAGCCAATAGGAATTTCAACCAGGCTGATTGGACAGAGGCAGCCAAAGGAGGAGCAAGGGGGCTGGGCTGAGGAAATATAAGTGCTAGCCATCAGGGCTGGAGTGGGCAGAGCTTTGGTAACCATATACCACTGTGTCTCTCATTTATTTGTCTGACAAATAAATTATTATTTTAATTTCTCTATTGCTGCGTTGAATATTTCATTCCAGCTAAGCGTTAACCA